ATGGCTTTATGAACTTTAAGCCTTAAACATTTGTGTTTAGAAATCAATATTTATTACCAAATCAACTTTAAAAATAATAATGTTATTTTTATAGATTAGAAAAAAAGAATATTAAAAAAAAATCAATAATTACAAAATGGTTTTGTGAACCTTAAGCTTTAAACATTTGTGTTTAGAAACAAACATTTATAACCAGGTCAACTTTAAAAATAATAATGTTATTTCTATAGAGTTGTATAATATTCATGAAAACCAAAAAATTTGGCAAAAAAGATATAGATTACACAAAGATTATTTAAAATTTGGTGCAATTAAAGCTAGTAGAAATTAAAAAAAAAATAAATAGATAAAATATATATCAAATTTAGTTAAAATATCTAAAATATTAAAGAATATATTAGATAAATTAATTAGAATATAAAATAAAAGAAAATTTAATAAAAAACTAAAAATAATAAAAATACTCTATAGTGCAAACAGATTGCAAGTTTTAACTATAGACTAGTCTAAAGAATATATTAATTGTAATAATATTCAAGAAGTTAACAAACTCCAAACTAATTGCCCTATTCTTAAAAGATAGAAAATAATTTGAAGATCAAAACCTTTCTTGATAATAGTAATAATGGATATTACATACCTCTACCAATACAATAATAAATACATTTATAACACCAAGTAAATTATATACAATGAATATAGTTAATAAGATAAAGATAAAAAATAGTATTAAAAGAACAATACCATATTAATTATTTTGATTTTAATTTCAATTTAAATAGTATGAATAAAATTGTTTAATACTTAATACATAATAAAAACTAATAATGTTTTGTTAATTTATTATACCTAGCTTTATTTTTTGTAAATAACTATTATTAAATGCTAAAGAGCAAGCTTTATTGATACCATTAAAAATACCACTTATCTATAAACAAAAACCATTATTTTTTTACACTATCTATATAAAAATATTAATTGAGTAGTAAAATAATAAAACCTACAGTTGACTCTCTCAAAATCAATTATGTCAAAACTGATAACCTGTCAAAACTAACAAAAAACCACCATTCCAGCTATATAAAATTGTTTTCAAATTCAATAACCTCTCATATCTAATACAAAACATGTTCACTATGCATACTAATTCTGAGAGAGTCAATTGTATAGAGTAATTTTAGTTTGCAAAAAACTCAATAACTTAGTTAATATTCAGCATTTAATATATTTAATAAAAAAGTTTAATAATTAAATAAAAAATATTATATTTTTATTTTCTTATTTAAATTTTCTTTTGATTATTTTAAATAGTTATTAGTTATTTTTACTTAATCATAATATATAAATAATTTATTTATATTTGGATATCTTTTAAATAGTATTATTAATTATAATTTTTTCTCTTTCAATATTATAATTTAATATTTTAGATTTTTTATAACTTCTTTTACAGTATTTTCTTCACTTCTTTATTTTATATCCCACAACATGTAAAATTTTTCTTTATCTCTTTTTTCAAATATTATTTATATTATTTTTTTTTATAAATTATCATTACATTTTTCTTGGAATTTGATTATATAATCAAGTTTATATTTAAATTGTATAAAATCTTTTTTATTATCATTTTCTTCATTGACCAAAATTGTAGTAGTTAAAAAAATATTTTTAGCTAAAAATAGTTTAAATCCTCATATTTAAGTTTAATATTATAATATAAATCATTTAATATAAAAATTATTGATTAGTTCATTTTTGTTTTGAGCTTTGATCTTGAGATATTTCTTATTGCTATACCAGTTAAAATTTTATATAGTAAATACTCAAATTTTATATTGTTTGTTTAACCTTTTAACATTTTAAACTTTATTTATATTAATAAAAGAATTTTGTTAAAAAGTGTAATATGCATTCAGTATAACTCCTCTGTATTTCAAAATTTTACTAGAATAACTCTTGTTATGTAACTAAGTAAAAATGCTCCTCTTGCAATTTTAGTTTACTTTAATTCAAACTCTAATCTAAATACTAATACTAACTCTAATACTAACACTAACTCTAACTCTACTATTTATCTGCTTATTTACTATTAAAAAACAGGGTGCACTCAGTATATGGGTACACTTTTTAGTTTTTTTCTTAATAAAATATTAATATATTATTTAAATAAAAAGTTCTTAATTTTTTTTAAAAAAACAATGAATTATTAGCTTTAATACTCTCATATTTAAAATTGTAATAGTAACTAGAAAAAATTTTATTATATAAAAAATTATTTTCTGTAATTAATAAAAAATTAATTAATTATTTTGAATAAAAAATCTTATAGTATTTAATTAATCTAAATAAATCAACAAAAAAAAAAAGAAATTACTCTGTTATAGGTTATTAGAAATATCATTTGCAGTATTATAATATTGTTATATTGAACAATATTTTCAAATTTAATAAAATATTATAATTATAATTTTTTTAAAAAAATAAAGAATTACTAGTTTTAATATTCTTAAATTTTTTCAAAAAATCCTTCTACTAAAAAAAAATCTACTCTAAAAATATTGTCTATAAAAAAAACCTAAAAAAAAAAAAAAAATTCATCTAAAAAAATTTATCCACTAGAATTTATATTCAAAATTGTAAAAAAAATTCCATTATATAAAATTTATTTTTTGTAATTAATAAAGAATTAATTAATTATTTTAAATAAATATGTTATATAATTATAATTTTTTAAAAAAACAAAAAATTATTAGTTTTAATATTCTTATTCAAAATTGTAATAATATTCAAAAAAAAATTTTGTTATATAAAAAATTATTTTCTGTAAAAAATTAATTAACAATTTTAAATAAAAAATATTATAATTATAATTTTTAAAAAAAAACAAAAAATTTGTTAGCTTTATTACCCTCAAACTTATTTTCTATATTATTATTATTATTTATAACTAAATTAAAACTATGTAATTATAATTAAAAAAATAAACAAAAAGAAATTAAACTAATATTTTTTAATAAGCTTTCTTAAAACTTTAAACAAAGATAACCTAACAAAACTTAATTAAATTTAATAAAAATTTTTTAAATTTAATTTACAAGTTAATCTATTTGTAATTATACTATTAAACATAGTTTTTTTATAAAAAAGATTTGTAGCTGATTAATATTAGGGTATATTAGAGTTAGCTTAGAGTTAGAATTTAAGGTTAAAGTAAAATTACAAAAGAAACATTTTTACTTAATTATACAACCTAGTAAAATTGAGTTATTATAAAATTATTAAATATAGCTACATATAGCCATAGCTACATGTAAATTTTTTCTAAAAAAATAGATTTAAATTAAAAAAAAAAAGTTACTAAAAAATAAATTTAAAATTTCTAAAATATTTATCTAAAAATAATACTAAGCTTAGTAAAAAAATTATTAAAAAAAACTTTAAACAAATAGTTTTGGATTTAATAAAAAAAATTATTAAAAAATATGTTTGAATCTAGCAAAAAACAATAAAAATTTACTAAAATTTAAATAAATTAAAGTAAACCCTTTAAAAAAAATCAACAATAAACAATTTTAAAATATGATACTAAAAAAATTATTAAAAAATATTAAAATTTTTAAAAAACTTTTTTGAACATTTTAAAATATAGTATTAAAAAAAAAAACTTTTAAACCAATTTTAATATAACAAAAAAAAATATGTTTAAAATAATAAAAAAACTAAAATATAGTTACAACTTAACAAAAAAAACTACTAAAATATTAAAAAAGCTATTAAAAACAATTTTAAACTGTAAAAAAACTACTAAAGGATTGTCAAAAAACAATATTAATTTTTAAAAGTATTTTTTTAAATATTTTGAAGTTATCTTTTAATAAAACTACCCAAAAATATCCAAAAAATTATTAAAAATATTTAATATATATAAACCAAAAAATTATAAAAAATTTATACTAGTTAAAAAAATAAAATTAAAAAATAAAAAAACAATAATATTTATCTATTTAATGTTATTATTTATATATACAGTCTAGCTTGCTAATATCAACCTCATTAATATCAACCTAAGCCTTAAGATAAATTTTTACAAATTTTTTTTATATATTAAAATTCTCTAATATATATCAATATTAATATAAACTCTTGCAAATATTATAAATTTTTAAATTTAAAATTTGTAATAATTTGTACTGTATTTTTGACAATTTTAACAAGTTTTATAACTCACAAAATTAAAAATTTATATTTTAATTATTTTAAAGATTTAAATCTAAAAAATTGTAATATTATGCAAAATTAATTAATTGGTTCTTAGTACTTAAAACACTAATTACTAAAGCCATTCTTGGGAAATAGCATATGTATCACCTCTAGTAAGTGTTAAAATCGTCTTTTAAAAATATTAAATTTAAAATGTTAATTTTATAATCAAAAAACAATTAATTCTAAATAGTCAATTTGTTTAATTTTTGCTAGCATTATATTTTCATAAAGTTGATTATAAAAAATCTTTCAAAAATATATTAATGGCTTGGTATAAACATTTTTTATTTAATAATTTTTTGCTGAGTTATAACATTTTTAAAAGCCAATTGAAATTAGATATCTTTCTGTCTTATGCTGTAGCATTATTGATCCAAATATATATACATTTATATTTATTATTTTTTGTATTTATAAAAAAAATGGATGTTCTATAGAATAGGTGGGCAATATATAAAATAAACTCCGCTAATGATTAGTAATCATTAATAAATATTTAGCGGAGTTGCGGAGTTTGCCCACCTATTCTATAGAAAATCCAAAAAAATTTCACAGTTATATCGTTATGTTAAGATTAGTTTTCCAAAATTTATTAGGATAGTCCAGAAATGACTAGAATTATGCAGAATTATGCAAGTCATGAAGATCATTCCGGATATTAACTCCGGATAATACAATTCGGAAATGTATAAATTATTTGATGTTAATCATTTGCACATTAGATATTGTTAAAACAAATGTCAAACATTAAAAATGAAAATTCATTGCCTTGCATTCCGATGTACCTTCGTAATAGTCCATTAGATATTTATAACAGGACCGCAGACACACCAATATTATTACCAACTAAATTTAATAAAAATGACCGTGCAAAATGTGTACAAGTAATGGACAACGAATTGATCATTCAACACGGCGGTAAATTAATCTCATAAGAAAGAAAAAAAAAGGGTTCAATATTTCTTACACTCAATTACTTAATAATTTAGGAGGTGGGACATCTTCATCGATTCGAGCGGATCATCCTATTCCTCGCAATGCCGGTGTCTTCTATTTTGAAATTAACCTTTTAAATGAGTACGTAAAAATAATTAAATATAAAGATATTATTCATATTTAATTTTGACCTTTATACTTAGTGTATTAAATTATAGTCCGGCCAGTGTTGGGCTCGTTAGAAAAGGATTTTTTCTTGAAAGACATGCAGGTTTTTTTTTTTAATTCAATTTCTTAACCTTGAAATTCGAAGTCATAAGCAGTAATTTAATTCTTGCTTTTCAGGATGGGAAATTAAATCCTTAGGGTATCACGGTGATGATGGCATGATATATTGTGAAAGAGGGTATGGAAATCCATATGGAGCACCATTCACGACAGGAGACACTGTTGGATGTTGTGTAAACTATTGTGATCAAATTATTTTTTTTACAAAAAACGGAATTAATTTAGGTTTTATTCTTTCTTTTTTTTCAAATTTGCGATTTCAAATTCATAAAACATTTATTAATTTGAGCATGCTTTTTAAAAGGAATCGCTAGTACAAGAATTTTTCCAGGAAAATTATACCCAGTAGTTGGCATGCAGACTTATCTTACTCAAATTGAAATTAATTTTGGCTCTAGACCTTTTAAATTTGATATAGAACGTTATGCAAAGGTAGGTTAATTTTTCAATATATATTTAGATGCTTCAAAGTTTTTCGTCATATTAATACATTTATATAGTCTGTTTTTACAAGGGTTATGTTGCAACAAAATAAGTTCTTTATAATTCGTGAATCTGAAAAATATTTAAAAGATTATGATGAGTTTCTAGAAAGTGTTTATGAATCTGATGAATACTCAGAAGATGAGGTTGAGTTTTTAGAAAGTGACTGATTTTAATATATTCTTTATCTTTCTCTCTGTCTGAATCGTTACAAGTCATTTATACAGTTTTTTTAAAATATATTTATTATTTTTATTATACATATTTGTGTTGTTTAATAATGCAACTAAAAAATACCATTTCTATTTTAAACCCATCTGTCGTACTAAAGCACACTAAAGCAAACTAATTAATCATACATATTATATTTACATGAATATAAGCATTAGAATTTTATTTAAATGTTCGACTACTGGGTATTACAATATTAAGTCTGATATAATGGGCAAGCAAAAATAAACTCTTAGTAATGGTTAACCAAATTTACTAACGGAGAAAGCTATCTCAATAACTCAAAAAAAAAAAAAAGACATGGCTCTAAAGATGCACAAAACTATGCCACATATCTCGCAGAAATATATAGCTTCTGAAGCATATTATTCTCTTAAACAAGACACATGAGCTCACGTTAACAAACGAAAAATCGGTTGCCAAATTTGAAAGATCCTCAGGAAAAAAAACTACTGGCATTTTTACAACAATCTCCCTATATAAATTAAGATAGAAGCCTTTAGAAGATAATGAAGGGTCTCTTCTATAATGAAAAAGAATACAAATGACGGTGAAGTATAGTTGTTAGATGAAACCTTGAGGTTTCACGCTGACGAAACGCGAAACCTAGTTTCGTCTTTCGTCAATTAAAATCTTAAATGACGAAAACGAAACTGTAAAGGGTAACAAAACTAAAGACGAATATATAAATCAATGTTGCTAAAAATCATTGAAGATTATGTGTATAAAAAATAAACTAACAAAAACAGAAATTTATAAAAATTACAAAAAGTTTTATTGTATAATAGGCGCTTGAATTAGGGATGTGTTACATAAATTACAACTTTACATTACATGTAATTTTACGTAAGTTTCTGAAACCCAAATTTCAT